GGGGCTGGAGGAGGTTACAGAGATAGGGAGGGGGTGTATGGGGCTGGAAGTATAAAATATTGTGCAGTGCGACACTCCCTCAGCACTGACCCTCTGACAGTGTGGTGCTCCCTCGGCGCTGACCCTCTGACAGTGCGGCGCTCCCTCGGCGCTGACCCTCTGACAGTGCGGCGCTCCCTCGGCGCTGACCCTCTGACAGTGCGGCGCTCCCTCGGCGCTGACCCTCTGACAGTGCCCGCTCCCTCAGCACTGACCCTCCGACAGTGCGGCGCTCCCTCGACACTGACCGTCTGACAGTACGGCACTCCCTCAGCGCTGACCCTCTGTGCTGGGTTTGCCAGGAGGAGTGCTGAGGCGGCGTTTGCTTGTTTTCCCTCCGCACTGGGTTTTGAGGGTATCGCTTCCGGCCCGAGTGACCCCCGCTCCCCCCCCCATGACCTTACCTCCCAGTTGGCGAAGGGCGAGGGTGGCAGCAATGTGCCTGAGGGCCCATTCCGCCCCATCAGCCCGTCGGTGCAGATGTCGCAGGTGGGTGCCAGGGTCCAGTTCCAGTAGGGGACGTAGAATCCCTCGTCCCCGGTGAGGTGGCGCATCTCCTTCTCGAAGAACAGCAGGTAGTTGCGGTGCCAGACAGTAAAGGCCGGGCCCATGTGGGCAAAGTTGGGTTCGTTGCGCGTCTGGATGGGCTTGGCTGCCACATAGTGCACCCAGGTGCAGACGTCATACACGCTGGCGTCCTGGAACGTGTAGCCGCTTGGGTCCGAGGTGTTCCCGCTCACCAGGATGACGTACCGCTGGCTGACCGTCATCTTGGCCAGTACCAGTTGGTTTACGAAACGCTGCCTCTCTGCACGGCTCATCTCGTGTAGGGCCCGGCGCACCGTCAGCACCCGCCTCTGACACCGCGCACCCCGGTACCCGTCCCTGCACTCGCTGCAATCGAAGCCGGAGAAGGGGCTGTTGCACATGCAGACCCGCCTGTAGAAGCCGGAAGGCCAGGCCACTCGGAAGTCCCTCCGGGAGGGTTCAGGCGCGTGGAGGTCCGCCTGCGTCTGACACCAGCCCCGGCCACTCTTCTCCCCGCACGCCGAGCCGTCCTGCTCCCAGACTGGGCAGCAGGTCCGGCTGGTCAAGGCACTGGGCTGGGTGCACACCCTGGGGAACTGGGAGGCTGTGCTGCTCACCAGCACCGACGCCAGCAACAGCCTGGATGCCATGCCTATGTGCAGCTCCTCTTCACCCTCCTCCAGTGCCTGGCAGCTGACTGGGCAAGCTGGATTTATACACCGACCACACCCCTGCTTGCTGGCACCCACTCCTGCTACAACTGCTGCTGCCAACAAACTGCTCACATAACCAAGGCTTCGGGCCCTCCACCCGGGAATGGTTACAGTCAGACAATCCCTACTATGCACAGTGAGGCTCTTTGGCCCATCAAGCCGACACCGAGTCTCTGGAGAGCATCCCACCAAGATCCTGTCCCTGTGATCCCGCATTTACCCTAACCCTCGCATCCCTGGGCACTACGGGACAATTTCCCATGGCCAATCCACCCTAACCTGTGCATCCCTGGGCACTACGGGACAATTTCCCATTGGCCAACCCACCCTAACCCGCACATCCCTGGGCACTATGGGACAATTTCCCACGGCCAATCCCACCCTAACCGGCATATGCCTGGGCACTACGGGACAATTTCCCACGGCCAATCCCACCCTAACCGGCATATGCCTGGGCACTATGGGACAATTTCCCACGGCCAGTCCACCCTAACCTGCACATGTTTGGACTGTGAGAGGAAACCGGAGCACCCGGAGGAAACCCACACAGACACAGGGGAGAATGTGCAAACTCCACACATATCGTTGTCTGAGGGTGGAATCGAACCCAGACCCCTGGCGCTGTGAGGCAGCAGCGCTGACCATTGAGCCATGGTGCTCCCCAGGAGGTGCTTCTTCCTCCCTCAAACATAACTATTGACCAAGTGGCCCTTTGTGCTTCCCCCCCATGCCCAGAGCAGAGCAGGGACTTGGTGCTGACGCCTCGGGCTGCCTGCAGAAGCAAACCCTCCCGCATCCCCACCATATTGCTCACTCTATCCCTCTTTCCCCACTCTGCTGGGGCCACATGCACTCTCTCTGTCTCTCTCACACACAGACACACACACACACACACTCTCTCTCTCTCCCTCTTTCTCCTTTCCCCTCTCTGTCTCTCTCTCACACACGCACATGCACATACACGCACTCTCACTCCCTCTTTCTCCTTTCCCCTCTCTGTCTCTCTCTCACACTCACGCATATTCACACTCTCGCTTTCTCCTTCCCACCTCTCTGTCTCTCTCACACGCACACACTCTCTCTCTCACTGTCTCTCTCTTTCCTGTCTCTCTCTCTTTCTCCTTCCCCCTCTCTGTCTCTCACACTTACAGACACACTCCAAAGCAACACTATCCATCAAAGGTAAACTCATCCTCATCACAGTGGACCATAGGTCTGTTGTCTTACAGGGAGAGACACACACACACACACACACACACAGGGTCAGGGAGTGACAGCGAGAGAGAGAAATGATGGGTGGTGAATGAACCTGAGAGTTAGCACACCTCAGTTGGGTGGAGAGGTTGATAAAGAGGGTCCATCATGGTAAGCTCAGCTGATGTGGGAACTGAACCCATGGTATTGGCATTGCTCTACTTCATAAAACAGTCACCCAGCCAACTCCACAAATGCTGCATCTAACCCCGTGCTGTCCCCGTCCCTGGGGGTGTTTGATGGGAGGGGAACAGTGTAGAGGGAGCTTTACTCTGTGTCTAACCCTGTGCTGTCCCTGTCTCTGGAAGTAGAGGACAAGTTGGACCGAAGGCTCTGTTTCTGTGCTGTATGACTCAATGACACTGTTACTCGATACAAACAGTTCCTGTACTAAACATCGACTGCTCTACATTGTCCTGCACTGTGTTCCCACTTCTGTACAAACCCGCTAGCAACTGGATTATGTGTCACGGTCCCCCATTCCACCCCGTCTCCCTGTTG